TCCCCTTTTGCTTTCTCTCCCTCTTTCTGCCCAAAGTTCTGCAGCCCAGCTGGCATGGTTTTCTAGTGGTGTAGTAAAATATAAATATAATAAGGACGTTTTTGAGCTGGTGAATCCATTCTGAGCAGAGAAACATCACCACAGAGCCCACAGATGTGGCACAAACTCAGGAGAGAGAGAGAAGGATGGAGAGAGGGAGGAGAAAAAAATCCCTCATTTGACATGGAGAGAGTACAGCAGGAGCACTGACTGCATTATTGTTGGCATTACCCAGCTACTAGACTTGTTATTAGGACACTTCATACAAATTTGACTCTAGTCTTCGTCAACAATCTTTAACCAAGCCTCCAATCTTCTGAGCATGAGTCTCACTAAACCCTCAAGTCTTATTTTAAGGCTAGTCTTTATAAGGAACTTGTAATTAATAAATATGCCATTCAATTGCAATTATGAGGAAGCTCAACTACTCTCTGAGGTAGAAGTTGGATTTTCCAGTTCCAGCTACATTTAGACTGTTACGCCGGTGTCTGTACCATTGGTCTGTACTCAATCATGGTTGTCAAAATGAATTTTGCTTCCCTTCTTTTCAAAACAAACTGTTTATTTGTCATAGCTACAGTCCCAATTAGTTTCGCATTGAACCATACTCGGAAGTTAACAAATGAAAACTATTATTATATAACTACTATTGAATTATATTGTTTTCTGTTGTCTTCTATTTTTTTCTATTCTATGATGGGTAGAATATTCTAAGCAGTAGTGTGTGCATATTAAAGTGTGTATGTATAATTGTATACTGCTGGTAATAATGACATTTTTTACCCATGCATTAACTTTCTCAACTAAAGGCTGCATATGTTACTGTATTGCATTTTTGTGTGTTTGTGTATGAGTATGTGTGTGTGTGTTTGACGACCTATGGCTGTGGCTACCTGCGTGCCTGTGTACCACCAAGCATATGTGTTTAGTGTCAGAGCACAGCATACTTCAGTCCCCTGGGCAGCTCTTTGTTTGCTTTAGCCATGCGGTGGCTAGCCTAGCCCGCTAACTCCAAGACACATTTAGCCTGCGCTCCACTTTTATATCATCCTGCTTTTATTTTCCTTCTGTCTGCTCTCTGACCAAACACCCTGCACTAAACTGGCCTTTAGCAAGACTAGTATTGGTGCTACTCTCAACCATTGATAGACAGATTTGGTCATTGTGGTTTTCACTGGCTGCCATGTTAGCTCCGGCTTAGCCCCTAAACTGCTCACACTGGCCAAATAGCTCTCGCTGCCAAAAATGTATGGCAAAATGTGTTACGGCTACAGTTAAGTGCAGCACATCCAGGAAGTTTTATCTCCTTGTCTTGGAAGATTAGGGCTTACAAGGTTTCAGACAGAACCACTCTGATACTTAGAAACCTAGTGTATAGTGTTAGGTGTTTATTGTGGTCTGGGGTTGGATTCTGGAGTGTGTGGAGGGACAGAAGGAGGAGGAGAAGGAGGAAGAGGGATGGTGGTTTTAGCCACCAGCTGTTGTTACCTTGAGCATAACGTTCTTTAACCCCCATTACAGCGAATCACCACAAGCCACAAACACGCTAGCTTCCAGTGACTGCAAAACAGCCAAAACTCACTTGTTTACCAGCTAATGTGCCATGTATTCACTCTCTCTTACTCATTCAACCCCTCTCCCATCTTTCTTTTTTCTTTCATCAGCTCACATCTTGCTCCCTCATTTCTCTTTGTACAATTTTCTCACCCTCTCTCATTATCTCTCCCAGCTTTCTGTATCATACTTTTTCACATCCTCCATCTCTTTCTAGTCATCGCCTTCTTAGCTTATCCTTTCATCTGTGTCTTCCTCCTTTTGCCCCACTTAGAGCCTTTGTTGGTTTGGGTGCTGGGTATGCGTGGGTAACCCCGGTGCCCATGTAAAGGCCCTGTGCTGTGGACTCTTAGAGCCCTAGTGCCAGTAGATGAAAGCTGAGAGAGATTCTGGGACTGGCACCCATCTCCCTCTGTCCTGCCACCGTGGCCTCTTATTTCACAGAGAAAATTAATAACTTTAACAAACATCAATGAGCGAGGGCCTGATGCTCGGTTGGCTCGTCGGCTGGCCTGGTGTGTGTGTGTGCGTGTATCTGTTAGCATGTGAGTGTGTACTGTGCACACATGGCTGGATATGTGTATTTTTTTGTGTGTGTTTGTGGGCCTGCACATGTGTTTGAGCTCGTACCTTACACTATGTGAACCATTGCAGTAGTGCAGACAGATGCAAAGAGAAATACTGTAAGGCAGAGAAATTGACAGGTTAATGAATACTAACATAGAAAGAAGATTTTTTGGGGGGTGTGGGGTGTCAGGCTCCACTCTGATCAGATCGTTGTCTGCTTGAAAGGCCATGGTGTCCTTTCTTGAGGCAACGAGGGACTGAAAGACGGATGGATGAAGGGAGGAATGGATGGATGGATGGGAGAATGTGACCACTTCTGAAGCATTGTCGACAGCCACGCTGAATAGGCAGCGGGCCTGCCTGGAGCCACGCCCGTATTTATGATCTTCAAAGGAAGGATGACACACACACTCACGCACAACCACAAAATGTTGATAGTTACAGGAAAACATATGCTTGTGCAAAACGTGGGTACACACAAATTTGCATATAGATTTCTGCTCACGCATGCACACAGCCCTTTGAACACATGTAGAAACAGCAACACTAAATGAGGAATACAGTATCAGCCCTCACATACTATATCAGACGGGTCACAGCAGCTGTGAAGTTGTATCTCGAAAATGAAACGTCACAAATAATCTCTTTCTTGCACTTCGATCACAAGATTACACCACCCTCATGTCTGTATGGTAAATGAAGCTACCACCAGCAGCTGGTTAGCTTAGCTTAGCATAAAGACTAGGAACAAGAGGAAACAGGTAGCTTGGCATTCCAGCAGTTGGGAAAAAACAAACGGGAGCTTAACTTTAGCTGCAGCCTTTATTCACTGACAAACTGTAACATACACTATACATTTACTGCTAGACAGACAACAGAGACTGCTCACCTTTACGTCTGCATACCTCTATTCACTGTCACTCTCTGCCACTCTCTCGCTCAACCACACACTCGCTATGCACACAAAAAGGGGTTGGACACAATGGCACGGTTTTGCGGGCAACCGATTGTGGTTGCTATCGATGGTAATTCGGCTATTTAGAAATGTCAGGTTTGTGCAGGATGTCTCGTGTTTTGCGAGTGAGAGGTATTATCCGGAACAGACCTATCCACAGTGGAAAACCAAAAAAGAGAGTAGAGTCGAGCTGAGCCATAGGATGCAGTGGAAAAGCCCTATAAAGTGCATGTTATATTAAGTTTGTAATTGTTTTTTCACAGGGGGGTCATGTGCTGGACTATTTTCCTTGCCAGGAGTCTATAACTGTAAGGTTAACAGGCAAACAGTAGAAAAGTTACTTATCCCACCAAGGAACAGTCTGGCACTCAATCCCCTGCAAAACTGGAACTCGTCATTTATTCAAATCAGTGGATTAAACAACCGAGATGTGTTAATGAGTAATCTTTAGAGGTGCTAGTAGGCGATGTTTCCCCTTTTTATACTTAGCTAACCCATCTGACAGTAGCTGGACAGATATCCCAAAAAGTCAAACTTGCTTTGGTCAACGTGCTCTACCACCTGGGCCACGGTCACCCATTGACATAGCAGAATCTACAAGTATCTTCTGTATCTCTAAAAAACAAAACAAAGACAAATCCCCCTTCTTAAATGAGGTGATAATTCATTATCAGAGCATGTCCACCTTACAGAGTTTACAGTAAAACACTGACACCTCTATATGACCAAATTTCATTTCTTTTAACTGGCTCGTATGTTCCATACCGGGAAAGTTCTAATGAATTTACACAAGTGTCAGTTGATGTTCTATTTCGGCTAAAAGGTAAACACAGCTATAGATGGCTGTTTACTGTGTGTGAATCTCTCTCTTTGCTTTTCTCTGTTCCATCAAGAGACATGAGAAGCGGTGGAGCAGCAAAAATACTTTATGGTGTTTACACACACAAATAATAAAACATAAATTGTGGAAACCCTCAGCCTTGTACAGTTCAGTTCATTCAAAGGAGCCTGCCCTGAGAAACAGGGGTGAGACCACTGATTTTCTGCTGGCAAATATTTGAAGAGCTAATTTGGAGGGGTTGGGTTTGCTGGTGTTAAATAGTATGTGTGTGTGTGTGTG